CCGCGAAATTTTTATTCATTCACCACTTGTGCATCACAGATCATTGTTAAGCAAGAAAGAAGAAGATGGAAGGACGACTTAGCAACAACGAAGTTCATTATTTAATTGTGGGATCAGTACAATGGTTTCCAACGATTCAACTATTCGACATTTTGGTGAAAGTGAAAGAACTACAGCAGAAACATTAGATCTCGGAACTGCAACTAAAGCGCATTTTTCCTAATTTAATCCTTGGAACACCTTTAGAAGAGTTGAAGGACACTTTTAGCCAGCTAGATATAGGATTCCAGTCACATTTTAAAGAAATGTTCTTTAAGACAAGCTACCCTATAACTTCACCGTTGTCTTCACAAGACAGCTAAAAAATCCGACGTCGTGAGCATCACAGAAGAAAAAACCTACGACAGTTCCAAACACTGTTGGCGCTGTGGCAAACCAGGTCATGTACGGAGAAATTGCAGAAGCAGACCACTTAAATTCTGTTCAAGGTGTGGTAAACCGAATACTTTAACTAGAGATTGTTGCAACAAGAATAATCTGAATTAACCTTCCTGAACGAAATTTCCATCTTTCTCGCACTTATCACTTTTAATTTAATTTCTATTTCCATGAACCAAGAAAAATGAACATTTCATTTCTTTAGCCTCAGATCTCTACATTCACTCCACTCAGTTATCAAAATTGCACAAAAGAATACCATCGAAGACTAGAAAGGAATTACTAAGCGCAGTAACATTTGAAAATCCCTATACACACTTCATGGTAAAGCACAGTAGAATGAAGACTTCTTACCTAAGACCAAAATCAATAGTCAAGAAGAAGTACAGAAAATCAAAGTTAAAACGGAGTGTGGACCTGTATGACAACCAGCTAGATATTACTGCAAAATGAAGACTAGTGAACAAGTCCGAAAAACGAAGTATCCGTATGGATTTCTCATAAACAAAATTTCGCTACAGAAACACAAGTTTAAGGACGGATAAAAGTATAAAAAGATTTCGACAACAGAAAACTCTCCGAAGATTGTCGAAGTAAAGAGGAAGTCAACTCAGTTATAAACTAAATAAATATTAATATTTATTTACCAATTGATATCTTAATAATAATAATAATTATTATAATATATGTAGAATTTATCACTTGGTCAAATATATAGACAATAGATGGAATATATCAATCAATCCAAGTCAAGTTAATTGATTGATTGATTGATATATTCCATCTATTGTCAATAATAATTATTATATTATATTATTATAATTATTATATTATTAAATAATAATAATTATAATTTTTAAATATTATACAAAATTATCATAAAAAATATTTTAATATTAAATAATTTATAAATATTTATATTTAATATCGTTAAGTGCACCTGGCAATAAATAAACTATCAAGATTGATTCAGGCTTGAATTAAGATTAGATGTTCAAGCTTCACTCACGAAGATTGACCGAGTCTTGAATCGAGCATGGGACGATCATTGGTGTCCCATGCTGAACTAATATTGAGTGACAATGATATAAAGACTGCTTCAACACTGGGTTACCCACGCTGGGCGTTCAAGACTCAGTCAAGCTTCATCCCATCGTCAGCATTGGTCTTTCGCGCCTGGGTGGCGCTTCACACCATTGACTATGGATAATTATTTATTTAATTAATATTTAAGGGATCCCGGACTCCATCCGGCGAGCGAATTCCCATTACAAAAAAGCATATCATTATATCCCTTTTCTGGACAATGATTTTGTGAATTTCCCTCTAATTTAGAATTTTTCATATCGTTCTCCATTTTCGCTAAAACGCGCGAAGCAAATTAATGAAACGCAAAGAGAAAAACAACACTATAAAAAACACAGAGAATGAATAGAAGGAGCAAAATAGAAAAAATCATAGGGAGAAAGAGAGAGAGAGAGACTTACAGAGCGAGACAAAGAGAGGAATGCTGTCGCGGTAAACTTTTCTTTATTGTGCGTTGTAACAACGACTCGCCGCCGGGCGCAGCAGCAAAGTAATTAAAACTTTCGTTTTATTTGCATTATCTCATTGTAAGGCATGGTATATTCTAATAATGGCGAGTTGTTAATTGCAATTAGGCGTTCACTCGGTGAGCTTACCACCTTTTTCCCCTTCACTTTTTAGTTTTAACGCCTTCCCTTTTGTCTTCAGTCATCACCTTTTTTCCTTAGTCTTAAATTCAATTCAATAATCACTTAGGGTCATTTGGGGTAAATGTAAACAAGGGGTAAATGTAAACAGTAGATGTTTTAGCTAAATTTACAAATTAAAAAATAAGTACGACGTCAATATTCTTACCTCAGCTCACCTACAAGATGTTCTGAGTATTGCTAATATTTTATTTTGACAATTGTCAATGCCATAGTGTAAGTTATTTTTTAATGCAAAAAAGATTGAAAATCAAAATTTTACTGTTTCAGTATTTTGTCTCACATTTGCATAAAAATAAATTTAAAAATCAAACAAAAATATGTAATTCTTCCTTATTAATGCCCTAACAAAAATTGACTTTGATTTTTGATTTTCGTCAATTTAGTTAATAAATAATTAAGTGTTTACATTTACCCCGAGAATTCGAAAACTCGGGGTAAATGTAAACAGAACTTGAACTACATTTTAAAAGAAAATAATTGAATAAATTTGCTTCTATTTCACAATTTCATTAATTTGGAAATGTAAAATTACATAGAAAAGGAAATTAGGTCCTCTTAAAAAAAATTTTGATAAAAAAAAATTTTTTTTTGAAAATATGATTAATTTTTAAAAATATTTTTAGGTTCATCCGCCATTTTAAAAATTTAAAATTTGACTTCAAGTTCGTATTCAGCGACCTCAAAAACCCCCTAGTAGCCAGATTCAAGTAAATTTGATCAATTTTTAAAAATATTATTTTTAGGTTCATCCGCCATATTGGATCCACCATTTTGAAATTTAAAAATTCGTTTTTAGATTCTAATTCAGCAAAATAAAAAAAAACTTCCTTTTACCAAGTTGAATGAAAATCTATTAAAATTTGTTCAAGTTATTCAAGTTTTTACATTACTAGTTTTGTAATGGCTAATTGTTTATTTTATATGATACATTATCAGTCAACTGGTTGATTTTACGAAGCATTTTTATCAGTTTTTCCATCCTTTAAAACAGTAGTATACTTAAAATAACTTGTTTCTTAAACTTCGCTTAACTACAGTGGTGTTTACATTTACCCCGAATTTAAGGATAATTTTAAAATCTCGGGTTAAATGTAAACAGTCAGTTTTAGGTGATTTAGGTGCATCAATATTTTTTTGAACCTCATAAAATTTTTCTAGGGAACTCTAGTAACAAGTTCATGAAAAAAAAATCCGTCCGTTTTACTTTTTAACAAAAAAAACTAATGTTTTTGGTGAAAAATAGATATTCCGTTTACATTTACCTCAAATGACCCTATAGAGAATTTAATTTTAAAGTGATTAATAAAAATTTGTAATTATTGGATAGCTGTAAAAATTGTATTTTCATTAAAAAATTAAATTTGTTTTGAATATTGTTTTTTATTTTTTATCGAAATTATAGGAATACATGTATTTATTTTGATAGTGTATGAAGATTAACGAACATTCTACTCCGAAAAACACTTACGTAAATAAAAATGATAATAGGTTTTATATAAAAACCCACGTAAGATCCCATGTGGTCAATTTTAGTAAAAAAAAAGTGACTGAAAAGTTAAAATAATCAAATCTAATTTTTAAATAAAAATATTGTGGAGATGTTCGACATATGAGCATTAATTGTTATATTTCACTTTTATTATTAGTATAGTACTATTTTATAAAAAAAAGTTTAATAAGTGCAATATTGTTTAAATTATTAAATAAATAATAATAAAAAGGAATTAATAATATAACTTAATCTTATGAAAATTAGTGACGACTGATAGAGCATTTGATATCAGAAAAATAGAATTCGGATTTGGTTAATACGAATTTTAAAAATTTCAATCTAACGTATGTAAAACACTGAAATATGAAGGGAATTTAAGTTTTGAATTATAAAGAATTAATAACTAACTAAAATTAATTAAATTCATTTAAAATTTGTAAGCTTTGATGTGCATATTGAAAGTCCAGTACTATTAACAGCATTATTAAAAATTTGTAAAATTTAAAATAGTCTTTGTAAAATAAGGTTCGTTAATCAAATTAATTGATTTTATTATCTTTAAAATTGAAAGGATCCTATATTATATAGGATGTTTTTTGTTAAGCGTGTCACCCCATTTCTCCAAAAATTGTTTAATTTACAGAAATTTAAATTTGTTGCTAAATTAAGCTCAAAACTTGTATTTTTGAATCATTTTAGGCCTTTTTAAATTTTTTTTTAAATTCTCAATACAGCGTCTTAATTGTAGCGTCGCAACTTAATAAAAATATATTTATAATTTGTCTCATAAAATACTCTTACTAATCCGAATTACGAATAAATAAAGATGGTCTTTAACGTCAAAATCAAGTCCGCCATTTTTGAATTTTAAAGAAATTATTTCGAATTTGCAATCAGCAACGTCTAACGGGGTTTAATACTACATGGTTTAAGTCTAATTTATAAAAACAATTGAATTTTTTACATCGAAACTTTTTAGGGTGCCTGATTATCCTATAAAAATCAGTTCACAGAATTATATAAATTATAATTCTTCTATATAAATATTTATGTAAATAGTTTAAAAAGATCACAATGAAATAAACATAATGAAAAAATAGGTTGTTCTCGGTAAATATTGAATCATATTGCATATTTTTTAAGAAGATATATTTATTTTAAATTAGAAAATGCAGAATGTCCATTGCTTATTACAATCTGATCAAATTGGAAATTAAGGAAGATGACAATAAGAAATAGTGATTGTGGATTGGATGGAACTGGATATACAATAAAAATTACGATAGTCGAGTAAACAATCAACAATTAAACGATAAACTAACATGGTTACTTACCTTCTCTCTGCGAAGGGGCAACAGCAGTCATCTGTTGAGGAATGGCTGGAGGAAACTGTCCATAGACGGCGGGATAAGCTGCGACAATAACAAACGACAAATACATCATGATCCATCACATCGAGCTAAACATTGCAAACATGCCCTTGACAAACTACAATCAAGCTTCCTGCATTTTGTCTTGAATTCATTTTTAGGCTTTATAATTTCGAATCTGTACACTACCGTCCACGAGTATCAGGACGATTACACACGACTCTATGAAAAAAAGCCATCAATTTTTAAATCATATCTCGCAAATAAAAGGAGATCCAAAGAAACTTAAATACGGTTAGAAAGCTGATTAAATTTTGCGTAAAATAAGAGGTCTTTGATGTTATTTCGTTAACTATTTTTGAGTTGTAGAGTGAGAAAGAAATAAAAAAAATTATCAAATTTTCTCATTTTTATCTCTTGACTTCAACTTTTTCAAAAATCTAAAAAAATTTAGATAAAATTATTCTAAAAACACAGAAATCTTCGTTAGAATTTCAGCATTAAAATAAGTCTTCGAAAATTAAAAAGGGCTAATCCGTCTTCGATATATCATTAAAAATGTGAAGCTGTGTTGCGACCGATTGGTGCATTGAAATTCAACTGTCACGACTCGATTCTGGCTTCGCGCGGCAGCGAATGAGAGAGAAAGCAGGGACGAATTCATGCTGGGGAATAATAAATAATGATGTTTCATGAGCAATATAAAGAAACTCGAAAGTTCATTGTTCCCCCGCATAAATTCGTCCCTGCTTTCTCTCTCATTCGCTGCCGAGCGAAGCCAGAATCGAGTTGTGACAGTTGAATTTCAATGCACCAATCGGTCGAAACACAGCTTCACATTTTTAATGATATATCGAAGACGGATTAGCCCTTTTTAATTTTCGAAGGCATATTTTAAAGCTGAAATTCTAACGAAGATTTCTGTGTTTTTAGAAAAATTTTATCTAAATTTTTTTAGATTTTTGAAAAAGTTGAATTCAAGAGATAAAAATGAGAAAATTTGATAATTTTTTTTATTTCTTTCTCACTCTACAACTTAAAAAATAGTTAACGAAATAACTTCAAAGACGGCTTATTTTACGCAAAATTTAATAAGCTTTTTAACCGTATTTAATTTTTTTTGTATCTCCTTTTATTTACGAGATATGATTGAAAAATTGATGGCATGTTTTTTCATAGAGTCGTGTGTAATCGTCCTGATACTCGTAGACGGTAGTGTATAATATACATGGAATAAATATTACAAAAAAATTCTAGATAGCACGTATAACCGATAAAGAAGTTAAAAAAGAATTAAAAAGACGCAGGCCAAGAAAATTAAAATTTTTTAATGCTGTAAATTTCAACGCTGTTTCTGATAAATTTTTTCATGCTTATTACTTATCAGTTATTGAAAATTTTTGTCCAAGTTTGATTATTAGCATGAAAAAACCTATGAAAAACAACTTTGCTATTTTCCGCACCAAAATCAGTATTGGCCTGTGTAATCGGGCATAGGATAATTAAAAATAATAACTTTAATTATATTCTTTTCGTAAGTGATTAACATACTTTGTAATAAAACATAGCAAAATCTCGCTATATATGCTCAAAATAATTAGCATACTATTTTAATTCATTTCTATATTAAAAATAAATTTCATGATATAGCGAAGATATTTAATTACAAGGCACTACAAAACCACTTTCATGTTTGTAACTAAATCCTTTTAAAGAATGCTTTATATGTGACATTTCGAAATCAAATCAAATTCACAGCTGCCGGGAGACTTTTTTATATTTTGATGAAGGGACTTTCAACTGATACGTGATATCACTTCAAAGTTAGAATACCTGCTATTAAAGTGAATGTCGATAATTGCAATCGGGGTTTCTCGAACGTAAATGATGGGTCGCGTTCTATCAAAAAAATTTTTAAACTAAAACCTTTGCATATATGGATATGCAGAAACACGATTCATCTATAAATAAAAAATTTTATATTTATAAATCACTTTACAAAATAATAAAATGTGTTTAGCAAATATGGCTATAGCTTTATTTCAATTTAATGTCCGTAAATATTTAAATTCACGTGATTTATTGTAGTAACACAATCGTGGGGGTATATTTTCCCCATAATTAATTATATTCAAGTAAACATCGTTTTAGTGAATTTAAAATTATGAAACTCGACATTTATAAGCAGCCAATAATATTTTGTATTATGTTAATTAATATAAAAAATATAAAACTAGATGAAGTTTTTAAAGCACACTTTTTTCTGTAAACCTATACACGACTAGAGTGATTCTTATTTGGGCGATGTTTTCAAATCTTTTATCTCACACCAAATAATTAATCAAGGTATACAACAAAATTTTCCTGCAAATTTGAAGCAAATCGAACAATATTAACGAGTACTTTCCACAACTTTTTTTAAGAGGAGTTTAAGTAGGTGAACTTGGTTTAGTATTGTAATTTGATCGAGTTTACCAACTTAAATTCCAGTTCATACACTGACCTTGAAATTTCAAGCGGCCCTTAATATTTCATGGGTAAAGTGCTCTCCCATAGTACTAAAGTTTGTGTCAAAATTAGCTCGATTTGAAAACTTTCGATTTTTAAGTTGGGACTGTTGAAAAATTTTGACGAACATATAAATGAATCTCACGCTTGAATAATGCATAAATGTAACAGATTTCAGTACTTATTTATAACAATTATAATTTAAACAAGTTGTTCATTTCATGACCATTAAGCTTCCTCAATATATATTATTATATATAATTTTAAAAGTTAAATAATTATAATAGTTTATTAAATATAATTAATAAATCTTCTTTTTAATAAATCAAAAAAAAATTAATGTTATAGAGTTTATCATAAATTTTTTTTCCTATAATATATATATATATATATATATATATATATATATTTATTTATTTTCTATATATGTATGTCTTTTTTACGAAAATCGAACAAAATTAATTTTTAATCGCATTAGCTATATTTCTCGTGGGATCTACATGTAAAAATACACGTGTGCCAATTTTTAACTCTCTAGGTAAAAAAATGTAAACGTTATGGTCATTTTCATAATAGTTTTAATAGAAAGTTTCTACCGGTTAAGTACCCTAAAAAAAATTCATTATTCAATTTTTTTATTATAGAAAAATTATTTTAAAGTATTAAGATAAAATTTCAAAAAATACAAAATTTCAATTTTTTTATGAAAATCTAAAATATTTATTAATTCTATAAATATTGATAAAATATATACTTTATATACATGAATCGATTCGTTTTTATGTCAGGAATGCAATTTTGACAAGAATTAATGAAAATTTTAATATAGAAAAAAGTTATTTTAAAAAATCCAAAAATTAATTTTTTCAAAAATTAAAAAATTGTTGAAAAAAATTTTTTTTTAAAATATTTTTGAAAATCCTTCTGTCTGATTTTTAGTATTCGTGACCGTAATACACCTGCAAAATTTTATCAAAATCCGTCAAGACGTGTAAGAGAAAATTTGTCCACAAGAATCGGTGACATACACACACACACATACATACACACACACACACACACACACACATACATCCAGACATTTGTTCCTCTCGACGAATTATATATACTACACTTGAAAATTTGTAAAAATAATTGATTCTAAAAAATTCGGAAATCGACATCACTATAAGGCTTCCTTTATGAGGAAGCAAAAATGTTACTTTTTAAAAATATTGAGTTTTTTTGACAGCTGACTACTGTAAAATCGACAATCTTTAATCATATTCCTGTTTAGCGATGCCAAAAACACGCTTACTGTTATTTATGTTATGAAAAACTTACTTTTTAAAAAAGTTGACCGTATTGCTTCCTCATAAAGGAAGCCTTATAGTGATGTCGATTTCCGAATTTTTTAGAACCAATTATTTTTACAAATTTTCAAGGGTAGTATATATAATTCGTCGAGAGGAACAAATGTCCGGATGTATGTGTGTATGTGTGTGTGTGGGTATGTATGTGTGTGTGTGTATGTCACCGATTCTTGTGGACAAATTTTCTCTTACACGTCTTGACGGATTTTGATAAAATTTTGTAGGTGTATTACGGTCACGAATACCAAAAATCAGACAAAAGGATTTTCAAAAATATCTAAAAAAAAAATTTTTTTCAACAATTTTTTAATTTTTGAAAAAATAATTTTTGGATTTTTTGAAGTAACTTTTTTCTATATTAAAATTTTTATTAATTCTTGTTAAAATTGCATTCCTGACATAAAAACGAATCGATTCATGTATATAAAGTATATATTTTATCAAAATTTATAGAATTAATAAATATTTTAAATTTTCACAAAAAATTGAAATTTTGTATTTTTTGACATTTTATCTTAACATTTTAAAATAATTATTCTAAAATAAAAAATTAAACAATTGGTATATATTATATTGAGGAAGCTTAATGATCATGAAATGAACAACTTGTTTTGACAGCTGCTGACTGTCATAAAAATGTTTTGCAACACTAAAGCAACTAAACTTGCAGCATTATTGCGTAAATTTAAAAATTCGAGCTAAGCTCAAGAAAATGACTACTCCTTGTGTGGAAAAGTCGCCTGGGCCAAACTGACGCTCGTTGGGTGTTTACAAGTTCAAGGTAGGGCCCAATTGGGAAGCCAATATTATCCTAATTTGGGTTATGACTTAGCTTCAAACTATTATACCAACTTATACCCAATTTGAGAAATCTAGTTAGGCCTAATTTGGAAAATCTAATTGAACCCAATTTGAGTAATCTTGTGGATTCCCATTAAGATTTCCAATAAATATTCAATTTATTGATAATTTTAATTTTTTTACTCACTTGTATAACAGTTACTGTCATTTCTATCCTATAATTCTACAAAATAAATTATTTATTTACACAGGTACAGAAGTACTTATAATATAAAATTATTAATTTAATTAATAATTAATAATAATAGAATTGAATATTCGATTTCTTAATTTATTCATTAAAGTAGTCAAAGGTACAACGTAGAAATCAATAATATTGTG